GCTATATCTGCTTGTCATATTGGCTTTGACGGGGTGACACCAGGTGCACATCCCCTTGCCATACATTTTCTAAAAGGGGTTCGCCAGCTGAGACCCGAGCTTAAGTCCAGTGTCCCTGCTTGGGACTTGTCTTTGGTGCTGGAGGCCATTTATAGCCCCCCGTTTGAACCCATTGAGTCTGTGGATATGAAATTTCTTTCATATAAGACTGCATTACTTCTCGCTTTGGCTTCAGCAAAAGCGAGAAGTGCTGCCTATTTTCCCAAGATCATTCCTGCATCTTATAGCTCAGTGGAGTTGAGTTGCGGAGCTTTTGCTCCCCTCCTTTTGCATCTGAGGAGCAGAGGAGGATGCATTCTCTTTGTCCAGTGCGTGTGCTACGCACCTACATTGAGCGCACTCAGGATGTGCGTTTATGTGAACAGTACATTTGCATAATGATTTAATAATTTATAAGATTGGGGAAACCTGCAGTCAGCTGAGACTGAAGAAGTCACTTGGATGAGTGACAAAACAGTTTCTCCCACAAAACGCTACATCCAGATGAACAGAATCAACTTTTGGAGATTTACTTACCTGGATGATTGAGCATGCATCAAGACGTACACACAACAACCTTTTAGAAATGTGTCTTTTAGAAATTTTGCACAAGAATGACAAAAAAAAACCCTACAGAAAATAGAAAATTAGCATTTAACTTGGAAGATGGAAGATGCTGGGCCTTTTTCTGTTCTTAAACATTACTACAAGTGTTCGGTGTTGAAGGCATTGTTCTTCTCTGTTTCTATGCTGCTTTCATTTTAAGCTGAGTTTGAAAAATTAACCTAAAGGTTTGTTGTGTTTTTTGAAAAGTCATAAGAGCCACTCTACCAATATGATTAATATGCTGTTTTAACCTACAGTGTTAAAATGATTTGCCAATAAATCACTTTAGAACTGAGCATAATCCAAATGTACAGTAATTTGTGTCAAATTATGTTGCACTAATTTTTAACTGTACAAATAGAAGGAAAAATATGCTCCTTTTCAAGTGACCTTAACTACACTGCAACTCATGTCATTCATCTATTTTTTCCCTTTTAACTACCTTCAGCAAATAAAGAAATTTGGTAGATTAAAGTCGTAACTGGAGGAGAAAATGGAAGACACAAAAGGACATGAAAATAATAAAGCTGAAGATGGAGTATAGTTAGAGGACTAAAAGTAGAGGGTGAAGAGAGGTAAAAGCCCTGATGTTAGGACTGTGATTGTGTGTTTGTGTGTGTGTCTGTGTGTGTATGACTGTGAGACGTGGCAGAAGGAGGCCTAGCCAAATGGCAGATCTGTTCCATATGTTTCCTGGAGACAGAGAGCGAAAGAGAGAGAGGCAGTTCCCCTCTACCCCACCCACAGCTCATGGAGTCTTTATTTAAAAAGACAAAACAGACCAGAAGCAAACCATCCATATCCCTACTGTACTTCAGTTTGGGCTAATTTTCTTTAAACTATAGATAATAGTTTCAGGTGAAGATGGATCACTCGGCAGGTGTTGGATATCTGGGAGTTTGCAGGAACTGTTGCTCCTTAAAAGCCCAGAGAAGCTGAGAGAGAAAAGAAAAGAAAAGATACAGCCTGTCATGCTTTTCGCTCTGGGTTGATCTCATTTATCACTGCCATATTCAGTCATGTTGCTTATTTATCGCATCTATATATACAGTAAATGGGGAATCTGGAGTTCTGCAGGACCTGGGCACCTTCTAGTCACCGAGTCATGTGTCTGTCCAATGCGCTATTATTATTGCTACTAAAGGTGGTTCTACAAGCTGTTAAATCATGGGGTGTATAGTTTTTCACATGTTCCTTCTGCATGTTGGTTTTATTTTTGTTAAATAAGTAATTAACATTATTTGAAATGTCATGTTATTCATCCGAGATTGAATTTAAATAATTTTAGAACCTACTATCGTCCGTGAAAACCCAATAGAAGGGGCACTTTTAAAGCCTATATCTTCATCTTTGTAAATGATCCACTGTTAAACAAGACTAAAAATCCAGAATTTGGTTGCTAACAACAAAAGTGTCCATAGGGAAAAAAGAAAAGAAAAGCGAAACGTAAATCAGGAACAAAACAAACTCGTGGTTTGAGGCAAGCTGCTATAACCACCAAGAACAATAATAAACATAAATACAGAAATATAAAGTTACAAGCTAGTTAAAGGCATACATTACTCAGAGAAATAAACAACAACAAATATACCACCCACCTACTGTGTACAGTGGGTTTATTAAAAACACAGCCCAGCACCACTGTGCACTTTGACGCTTGCTGGTGACAATTTTTCTTTTGTTTTTTTAAGTCCCACGGTTGGAAAATTCACTTATCACAGCTGGAGAGTGGATAGAGCAGAAACAATAACAACAATAATACTACCAAAAAAAAGTAGAATACTATACAAAGATAATGATTTATACTTATTTATTTCTTAATACATGATTATGTTTCTTAAGTTAGCTAAAGCTATCAAATACTGACTACACCACATTGAATATGCTGTACTTCATGATTGTTTACAGCTTGTTGTGCTGCCCCCAAGTGGCCTCAGTTGTTGCAGGTTTAAGCAGTGTAGCACTCTATGGTGTAATTTTAGACACTTTTTAGGTGCATAGTATAGTTTTAGGATGTACTGTTATGTCTGCCACTTTAAGTACATTGTCAGGAAGATCTAAACAAATTGGATTATTGCCATAAATCATTTATTTTTCTTGGTGATGATGTACGAGTTGATAAAGCCACTTTGATTTTATTTATTAAGGTTGTGGTGGTGACCTTATGAAACCTTTACTGATATGTTGCTCTTAAAAGACCTTACCTTTTGTATCTGATGCAACCCAATACAAGGGTATACATTGTCCTATAGTCCTGGATCAGGCTTGCCACACCCTTAAGAGACTCCATTTTAACAGATGTCTTGTCCTTCCTTCAATTCTGTGGCAATGATGCACAGGATGTCTACTGTTTCCATCTCAGTGATGATACAGCTAAACATTAGGTCTAAACATTAAATCTTTGGCATGAATAGTTACTGTGTTGTACAGTGCTGATAAAATGCTGTAGCAAGCAGTTTCAAATGTACAATGGAAAAGTGCTTTTGTAAGTTAAATGTTGCATAAAAGGAATGATTAGAAGATTTACAAGAGCTGTCGGGCTTTCACTTTTTCCCAAGTCTGGCCCTTTGGAGACATACTTTTTTTTTTTTTTAAGTAGTGGCAGACTTGGCTGTAATGGCAGAGAACATAAAGAACAAAGAAAACTTTTGTCAAATTAAAATCTGGTTCTGGATTCGTTTCCAGACCTCCACTGACACGGAGAGAAATGCCTCTAACTTTTTATTGTGCAGTGACATCTTCTGGAGAATAAATGTTGCTGCTCTTTATCCAGCCTCATGTTAGATAAACTGGTCCAAGTATCAGCATTAGGCTGGATAATGGATTTTCTTGGTCCGAACTAATTGGTTTTGGTCTAACTTGACAATATTTTATAATGAATGAAACAATCATCAACCTAAACTTTACAGCGTGTAGGTTAGAAGGGATTACCAAGATGTTTTGCTTAAAATCAGTTCTCAATTGCCCCTCGGGGATAAATAAAGTCTTCTGAATCTGAATCTGAATCTGAGAATTCGCTGAAAAACAAAGACAAGTCTCATGACTTGACAGAAAACAAAAACAAACAATCTGATGAAGAGCAGGTGTCCTCGAAATGTCACCAGGCGCAACAAATAAGGAATCTGGAGTTCTGCCTTGTGTGAATCGTTATTTCTTGTTCTTTGTCTCATCAGTTGGCAGCCATCTTGAGAGGGCACTGTGCAATTATTCGAGCATTTATTGTGAAGCATTATCTTAAAAAAAAAAAATAAAAAAAAGGTTTACCCCAAAGTAAATCTTTGAAAAATTTTCCCTTGGAAGTGGGTAGTTACTTCTACCACACTTGCTGTTGTGGAATTCTCTGATACATTTCAGGGATTTTGGAATTTTTTGAGTGCCATGTCTCTAGTGTACAGAGACTCATCATTTGTCAATTTGCTAAAATTTTAAGGATTTTGTTTCCTTTTCCGTCTTAAAAATTTTAACTGAATAGTTTTATAAAGCTTGGGCAAAAATCCCTTTAAATGTGCAACATTTGCTATTTTCTGATATTTTGTAGACTAAATGACATTCATAATGATTAGTCTAAAATGTCTGAAGGCATAATTTTCACACATAATTTTCTTGATGTTATAAATATAATTGTATGTATTTTATATTATGCAAATATAACCAAACTATCATTATTTTTTATTTAAGTTTTATAAAAAATAGACTTCAACTTTCCTTGGTTTCCTTGGTTTCATTTTTGAATATGTGTATACAGCTTATTTTCATTTGAAAATGAATTAATAAAATTCTAAGATTCCCAAATAGAAATGATAAATTCACCTATTTTGTTTTTTTTTTTAAATAAAAAGTCAAGACTTACATGTGTAGATGTTCCAGTTTTATTTAGCGACATCCTCAATAAATATAGCACCATTTCAGATCAGAGACCATTGGAAGAAACAGGGACATGATTGACCATGAGATGTTCTCAGATATCCAGATTATGAATCCTCCTATCTTATTATTTTAAAATTAACTGTAGTTCACATGGATGCTATAGTTCTCTTAAACAGGGGTAAATTTATACATTAGTTACAGGTAATCAGTATATCCCCAGTCCTGCAGAGGACGTATTTGCCTCAAGACCAATGTATAATCCAGTCTGACATTAGGCTGTCAGCTTCTAAATAAAAACATAACAAACATGCATTGAGATAATGTAAAATATCCACAGACATGGGGCTTCAACGTGACACTTCATCACTGTGTGCAAAGTGCACTTCATAATGCCAACACCACTGACCGTACAGACTTCTGCTGGAAGAAAAAGATATTTCAGTATAGGTGTAGCTGTTCAGCTCCTGTTAGTGGCCTCTAGTGACTCTTCTACGATAATTACAACATCTAATTTGAGGGAAAAAAATGGCTTCTTCATAATACAAATAAAGTTTTTGTAAGTATTACAAAGACTTAAACACTTTTCTACTCTACATTTCATTAAACAATGCTTACGGTTTTAAAACTAGAAAGAAAATAATAAGAAAAAAAGAATTTCCTTTCTTTAAACAATACATGTACAGCATGTAATACCACTCGTATCATTGGGTGATTTTGCTCAAAAAGTGACCAGAGGGAGGCGCTTTATTCCTAAGAAAGTGTACAGAATAAAAGTTATAAGGCAAAAGCTAAACATCCTATCATGCACCTTACAAAGGTGAGCAGGGCGCTTGTTTTCAGATTTGATTGTAATGCTGTTCGTTCTGTGACATCCTTCCATTTCATGATGTTTGTAGCTGCTAAAAACATTTCCTAGTGTTATAACTTATGATATCATTTTTATCTTCATCAGGGTGTAAATGGTACTTTCGTTCCCCGTGTGCTACAGGTTCAAATATACATCTTTCTAGTTTGTTTGTTTTTTAACGGTTAACCCTTTAATAGGAGAGTTTAATCTGTTTTTAGCCTATCAGAATTATTTCCAGCTATGTCCTTATTTTATCATTTCCCTCCACGCTACTTTCTGAAGTTTCCGAGCTGAACACCCCTCCGTCCGGTGACGCAGCGAAAGGTTGCCGGCTGTATGGCCCAGTATTTAACAGGGTTGGCAAAGAGACTGATGCCAGTGTACAGGTTCTTCTTGCTGTCGTCCCTGATGGGACAGAAGTCGTTGATTCCCACACTGCTGATTTTGTTGCCATGGAGGTAAATTACCTGAACAGATGGACAGCATTTTGTGTTAGTTATTCTTCTGCTTTTTTTTATTTACAGCAAACTATGCATGAGTAAAAGTTATGCGTTATTACTGCTTTATTGCTACACTGGAACCTCATAAACACAACCCAATAGGAGGAATGGTCTGTTAGGCATTACTTAATGGCTCCAAGTTGCTAAGTTAAAGGAGTCTTGTCTTGCTTGGAAGGCTGAAATATATTCCAGCAAACATATTTTTCCTTTTTTATTTCCATTGTGACTGAGTCATTCTACAAGAACCATATCATGACTGAGACTTTTTTTTTTTTAACTTCTGCTCAAGCTACTCTTATATTGGAGTAGTGGTGGAAGCTCTCATGTTTGTTCCTCTTACACATTAGCAGCTGTGAGTATATAAGTGGAAAAAAGTTACACCAGTATTATACTCGCTTGTGGACATGCACACAGACAGCTGCAGACACCACAGATGTGTAGTTTTTTGCCAAACTTTTGGAGTACAAAACCTTTGGAGTACACCATGAGAACTCATCCAAAGTACATGTCACATGTCAAAGTACTTCAACAAACAAGTCTCACAAATCAGCAGACATCTTAAAACTCCTCTAGGCACTAATTTGGGCAATTATTTTAGAGGATTACATTGCACCTTTAAGTTTAAGTAAGGAATTATTTTGTCATCATCAGAAAAGGGTTTTGAAAAAGTGCATTCCACGTACGTTTTTTTTCTTGTAGTGCAGTGACCCTCAAGTTCACTCATATGAAATAATGAAAATGCTCAGATTAGAGGAGAACCTGCATACTCAGGGACATATAAAATATAGTCTGCTCTCACATCCACATGCAAGAATAGGCTCGCGTAAAGAAGACACTGAAGGGAATCATGCCAAACAGGCCTAGACATCAGTCAGCAATTCTTTGGCAACCACAGAGTATGAAGGAGAAATGATTTTTAAAAAACATTTGGAAAGTGGTTGCTGGGTCTCATTAGGTTGTCTTTGCTTTGGTTGCTGAAGATTTTCCTGTTCACCCATAGTTTGCATGGAAGACCCCGACCTGTTTGGACACTCACCAGTTACTCACTGAATAGTATTGAAATAGTTGAAAACCGAATGGAGGTTTCTGGTACAAGTTAAGCTACTTTCAAGGTGCATGGAGAATAGCAATAGCTTTTTCACCAATTTCACCTACAGCCAGCTAGCAACCTCCACCAACTGCTCACTGATCGGTTGTTGCCAGGGGGTCAACAATGAGTCTCTAGGCCTTTGTCAATTTGGTCTAAAACATCTCTTGTTATAGTAAAAGGAAGATCACCCACAAATAAAGTTTGCACAGTTATGACTTACAGAGGTTTGAGTTGTGCTGCTAATTTTATTTACCAAAGTAGCAGCATTGTGACAGTGTCCATATCTCACCTGTAGGTAGCGCAGGGAACTAAGGCCAGGTGGGACCTTTCTCATACGGTTGTTGTCCAGGTAGATCTCACGGATGTTCGGGGTGTTGGCAAGGCTGCCATTTTCTACATACTTGATCTGGTTATAAGCTAGTCCTAGCCTGTAAAATTAACAAGTTATTAAGATATAGAAGCTTAAAAAATTTTAACATCTTGCATAATTGCTTAATATCGGTCTGTCGTTCCTAACTTATGGTGCCATGGAGGTGCAAGATTGCAGGTGGGAACTAGAATCAGTCTTTAGGAAATCATTAGTATCATGCTGTGGAGTGAAAACACTATAAATTGTGACAGTGTTTTTTTTTTTCCTTTTAATTCTGGTGTCAGTTTTATTTCTGAATGTTTGAGTAATGTTTCAGTCTCAGTTTGATTCAACATGAAAACAGTCACCAGTGTTTACAAATTAGTTATTCCTGTTGATTGAAAAGTTAAGTTAATCTAACCAAAAGCATGAAGTAGAAATCTGCGTTAGTGAAGGATGTCTTTGAAAAAAATCAGCTTATAGGTTAAAGGATTGGTGGTTTTCACCTCTGCAAGTTTTTATATCTGATGAAGTCTTCTATTTCCACCTTAGAGATTTTGTTGTAGTCCAGACTCAGTTCTGTAATGGAGGATGGGAAATCTGGAAGACACAACATACATTGATTATAAGCAGTTTAAGTAGCACATTAAGATGCTTTATTTCTTACAATCTTTTGTAATGATTTGACAAAAATCTTATCAAATTACAACATCATATTAATTGAAGTTAGTGGTTTTATGGCTAAGTTTACTGTGTAGCTAGGTCCCAGTATGTAAAACTGTCAGTGTATGAGGAGAAAGAAAAGTGTAAAAGCTTTTAAACTGAATTGTTTAAAACAGTAAAACATAACATGAGTGATATCCTACCTTTTGGTATGGAAGTTAGTTTGGCTTCCGCTATACCGATATACAGACTCGACAGGCCATTAAAAGCTCCTATCTCAATTCCACTGTTGGTCAGAGGGTTGGCCCCCAGCTCTATTTGAGTAAGCACAAAACATCTGGTTTTATTATTAATGATTCATTATTTCAATAGAGAACCTGCATCAAGTGAAGTACAACAGATCTATTGTAATGACATTCTCATCTGTTGCTCTTGGAGATCTGTACAGCTTTGTTTACATTCTCTATAAATAGAATTAATCAATAAGCCTGGGCAGCTTGCAAAGTCTTGACAATAGTCTTCTAAATGATCTATTGATAACAAAATCTTGGCTTGGTCCGCATAAGGTCTTGAAGTGATTGTGTTACTGATCGTATCATTCTGTCACTGCTGTAATGGCAGAACTCTTTGTCCAAATGAAGTGTTATATCTATTTTCCACTGGTCTTTTGAAGGTGATTTATTGGGTTTTCATTGTTTTCTGTCTTACAATACACACTGTTACGATGATGGGTGCTCCTATTAAACATGGTCAAAGTTTCAAATAATGAGGTCATGTGCATGTATAAATATTCTTGTGAGCCAAAAGCTCAAGCCTAAAGTTTCACCATATCTATGTGGACATATTCACATTAAATCACATTAACGACAGAGGTGGCAGATGATAAAATACTATATTAGTATGAGTAGGCAGTAGAAGTTGAAGGCAGTTGAAAGGCAGTAGCAACCAGCTTGTTTTATTATGTTGGATTAAGAGCTTTTTGGACCTTTGTGTAAGTCTGTAATTACTATTCATGCCAGATCTAGGTTATAGCCATTCCTTCATTCTGTTTGATTATCTTTCACTGTTAAAGTAATGTTATTACCTCCTGATGATTCCTCTTTTGACTGAATAAATAAATCTTCAGACCTTTCCTTAACAAAGAACCATACACCACTTCCTTTAGAGAACAGCTATAGTTAACCAGATAGAAGAACCTAAAAGTGGGTCTTACCCAACACATGAAGTTTCCTCAAGCCCTTAAATGCATCCTTCTGAATTCTGTTGATCTGGTTTTCATGAAAGCGGAGTTCAATGACATTGGGAGGCAAATTTGCAGGGATCTCATTCAGCTGGTTGTAGGACAGATGCAGCAGTCTGAGATTGTCCATGTTTTTGAAGGCCTTTGGATGAATCTTAGAGATCTTGTTGTTGATCAGAAACAGGCCCTGTTTTAGGGAAAAGGGGAATTTTAATAGAGCTTTATAGATTCAAATTCAGTTTAGCTTCATTTCCTGCACAAAGTTAAAGAATGGAAAGTTTGAAACGGCAAAGAATGAACTTTTCTGGCCAACATTAAACCTGTGCTCGGTAAAAGGTTTTCAACAAAGAACAACATATGCTTATGATTGAAAACATTTATGTTTTGCTCAAGTTATGTTGTGCTTTTTTTGTAGTGTAGTACAATAGTGAGACTTGAATCGTAATGAAGACTTTATTACATTTTGAATCAATGAGCAGACTATGAAGTAAACAACATTCAGCACTATCAAGATGCTGGTCAGTTGCACTATTCAAGCACTGTGACTAACCACAATAATAGCATGAAGTTCTGGTTTTATTCAGTGTTTTAGGCCATGATGTGTTTTATTCTCAGCTGAGAAAACATTGTCTACAGATCAAAGATAAAGCTTCTCTCAGCAGAGTTTTATAAAAAGTAGCTCTTTTTTTTCCTTGAAGGCTGCTCTTGGACTGATATCAGTGCATTGTTTCTCCCTATCTCATAGCTGTAACAGTTACAAGACAGCATGGTCAGTCACTGATATCCTGGGGCTGAATGTGATTCATTTTAAATTTCAGAACCAGGTCTGTTCTTGTTGCCTTAGTACTAATTTTTGCTGTTTTTTGTCTTTGGTGTGTCTCAGTTTAAAGCTCTAGGGAGAACAAAAAATGTGGCCACTTTTATTTCAAAAGACCTCATCAGCTGGACATTATATTATGTTTATAACAACAGTCAACTTTTCCCATATTGACCCATGAGTATTGTAGGGTTTAAACTGCAAATTACATACATAATTTATTTATTAGCAGAAATATTTACATTTATGGTTTATGGTTCTAATTGTTTTATTTAATGTGTCATTAGGTCTGAATTTATGTAGTGTTAAGTGTACCATTAACAATTAATGGTTACCAGATTTTGTACCGTACTGACTTAAGTGACTTTGATGTTTCATTTTGGCCTCTTAGGGCTGCACAATTAATCCAGTTTTAGTTTCAGGTACAATTTTGGCTCCAAGCAAATATGAAAACAAGCTGATAAGATCAAACCATTATTATGCTGCATCCTTTCTTGAAATTATGCTTCACTTTTGTGTTTAATTATGAACCCAGTGCAATATTTCATTTAAAATGCTGCATTTTCTCCCCTTCTGACTTCCTGCCGAGCTGCGATGCATTTAGCTCAGGCATGATGGATCTCTTTGTGGTAATTTGTGATTTCATTATAGACAAAACTATCCATGATCATTACTTTTGGCATAATCAGAAGTCATACACATTTTTGCATTGTATTAAGTGTAAGAAACTATGCAGTCCTGCCCTCGCTTTGAGCTATTGCGGCTTGGATTTTTCCTAATTCATGGAAACTTTTAAACAAGAGGGTTTACTGGGGGAATAACTGTAAATGTAAATGCTAAGACAACATACCATCAAACCTAATAATATACCTATGAGCTTCACCTAACTTAGTATTATTGGGTTATTGTACAACAGGACATTTGCAAATAAACAAAGGCCTCGGTCACAGAGGTCAGTTTAGAGTTCCACTCTGTCCAGCTTAAAGCAGAAGAGCTGTGCTGATGTGTGGATACAGTATGTTTGAGTCAGCTCTTTTAATCTTTAGTAGAAAGATTGGTATGTCGAGTTATCCAGCATTATTTTTAATGATGTAATGCATTCCCATCCATGTGCAGTATATGAGCATTGCTAAAACTTGCATTCTTTTGTAGTACTTCTACATAACATATGGAGGATGCATAATGTGACTGGAACTTATTTGCTTATGTAGTTTGGTTTTCTAAGGTGGACTGATGCCATTCAGTTACTACATTTGCTTGTAACTAACTTGCTGGCATGCTTCTCATATATTAGATGTTAACATTAAGTAGTTCTGATGTTCAGTGCACCATGCGCAGGGTAAACTAGTTCTTAAAGGATGTCTTACATAAAGCTTGTTGAGGCCTTTAAAGTCATCCTGCTGGATTTCAGTGATATCATTGTTTTGGAGATCAATCATCACTGTGTCTTCTGGAATCTTATCAGGAACAGATATCAGACCTGTTAAGAAAAAACATAAATGCCTATTTAAAGGAAAGAGTTGGATCAGAAATGATGGAAGTAATTGGGTTTTTTTTTTAACCGAGATACACATGTGAAAAAGAAATTGTTGTCTTTCTGATTATCCTAGGTCTCTGATAAAATATCAGTGGGTCATATGTCTGGGGTAATTATACCAAATATATATAGCATAGTATTTCAGAAAAAATCACAAGCTGCTGCTGCGTGTGCCAATAGTATATGAAAGTTTGGTTAAAAAACATTAAGTTATTGGAGTGATTGGCAGTGGACCCTTGGGTGTTTTCATAGCTTAATCCTAGTACCAAAGTATAAGAGAGCCCCACTTTACTGTAAGTTGGGCTTTTGGAGTTTAATGTACTTTAGTTCTTTAATGTACTTTAGTTCTAGAACTTGGACCACAAAACCAAATAGAAAATTTTAGTTTTTTGAAATGCTGGAAATGAAGGCTTTCCTGTTCCATTGGTGAGTTGTGTGTGAAAATTGTTTGGCTGCATTGCCCCTACATTTTAGAAAGTTCACATTAGATGTATATATGATGCCAAATTTCATCAGTGTCTTAACATTCATATTTTTTGTTATATGACAACAGTTTAACAGTCAAATTGTTGTTAGTCCTGATCACTTTTTTAAATTCATATACTGTAATGCCTCCTGTAAACCCAAATCAGCAAAGTACTATCTCAGATATTCCTCTACAGTTTGTGGTCATGGTGATGCACCACCCAACTGCTATTAATCAGCAAGGTTTAGGCAAGCATGTCTTACAAGATGTCATTAAGATTTTTTTTTAGCAATTAATGCTCAAGTGAATTTTGGATTTTGGAGACTGTTTTCAGTGGTAGATAAATCCTAAAACCTTGCAAGGCAGAGATTGCTGATATCCTTTTATAAAACTGATGTTAAAATAAATATTTATTTTAAAAAACCTTTTTCACATAGACAAATACAGCAACTACTACATGATTGCTGTTCTATTTTATGTATATGAGTGCCAGAAATAGAGAAGTAACTTAAGGCCAGACTAAACCATAGTCATTTTTTGTCATTGAATTTAACTGGAATAAACATAAGATTATCACTAGCCTTACCTATCATCTTATATGGCAGACTTAACATAGAGTTTTGAATAGAATGTGTTTCAGCACACTCCATGTTTACATAACATACATAACATAATGTAACATAATGAGTTACTTCAGACTGAGTGTGTTCTAACCCTGGTCAGAGCACTGCACCACTCTGGGTGAGCAATGGCAATGAGCTGGACAGTCCTCATCATCGTAATCGTCGTCATCATCATCATCGTCCTCATCATCATCGTCGTCATCATCATTTGAATCTGACATCATGATTTCATGGATTTTTGTGTCATAGTTTTTCAGGTAGTCCATAACATTGATTGGTTGGTAGGGTTTGGCATGGCCTAGTGCCAGCAGGCAAAGCAAGAGGAAGATCCTCATGGTTTTATTAGAGTTGTGGTTAAACAGGAGCCAAGGAGAACTCTAGGAAAGACAGATAAATGAATGAAAAAATAAATGTTTAAGTAGTCCCCAGTGTGGAGGTTGAACTTGATAGCATCACAAGAAAACTGTATTAATTAATTACCAGAATAGAAAACAACAGAACAAAACAGTTCTGGCACAGTATAAAGCACACTTACAGGATATAGTATTTAGTTAGCTGAGAACTGTCTATTCCAACCTTTTTTTAATGTACTGATCTATCAGTCTTTTCTTGACTACATTTTTACTTAAAAAAAAACTTCTGCAGCTAGTGCCACAGTTAGGAACCACTGTAGTGTATAATTGCTGATCATTCTGACTGTTATGCTGCAGTTTTTCCTGGGTTGTGTTTTTTCCTAAAAACAATCCAGTCAGAGCTTTATAGGAACCACCATTCTACATTGTTGGTGGTGTTGGAGCTATATAAAACTAGTACTAATTTCACCATAGACATGAGCAGTTTTTAGTGCATGAGTTAAATTTCCTTTTTACAGCTTGATTTAAGAATATTACTAAAACAGTACATTTGAAAGTGCATGTGGACTTCCTGGAGAGATCAATTTTCATAAGTGCTACCCTTTTTTTCTACCAGTGTTTCCATGGAGCTCTCAAAACCTCCTCTGGAAAGGACTTCTTGCAGCCAACATAAATGTTTCTCCAGCTCTCACCTATTCACCATCTGTGGTCATTCACAACATGATTTATATATCCTCCTCGATTACATATTCACATAACCAGCAGAGAGAGGCTGACATTGTCTGGTTCCGTGCTTCTGCTAATCTTGATGGATTCTGAGCCGTGCAGTTGAACGTGCAGTCCACCCACAAATATGTGGTGGTGGTCGAGCATCCTGCTTTGACAGCAAATACTGCACAGCACCGACCCCCTTCCTCTGCCCCCAGTCTGTCTGTGTTCCACATGTGAACATTTAGCCCCAAAAAAAAAAAAATACTATAAATACATCAAATGCTTCATGTATGCTTTCCAATTGTGCAGTAAGTTGGGAATAATTCTTCTTTGTTGTTGTTTTCTTTTCACTGAGTCAAACAACCATTGAAACCTTAGAAGTTTCACTTAACTCCAGTCTGACTGGCGTAGCAAATATTTACATCTAAAGAGGCATTTCATAAGTATTCAAACCAGATGTCTTTCATTAGGACTCTCATAATCTTATTACCACTTACATTGAGTAATTATCTTTAATATCACTTGGTCTCAATTATTACATGTCTAGTCATGAAAAGGTCAGAAAATACTCGTCATTTTCCATTTCTAAACATCAGATGTCTTGTTCTCTTTGATCATCTGTCCTGAGTCTAAACATTCACTTTACAAACACCAAATATAAAACTGAAGCTAAAACCAAAAGTCCTGGGCATGCTGATGATGATTTCAGAAATAATCAGTAAGAAATAGATATATTGACAGTCAACACTTAATTGATAATCGGATTTATGCCTGAACCTTTTCTTTTTAATTTAGGGATTTTTTAAAAATATTGATACCCTTTTTAGAGCCGTCTCCTATACATCTGGCATAGGAATTTTAATTAGAAACTATAAACTACCTTTTCCTTGCATTTATGCATTTATTATTGGTACCATGACCGTATTTTGTATTTTTTGTCAAATGAGCAAAGACCCCAAGCAATGCATAAATTTATTACTCTTCTCAGTATAAAGCCTAAAATTAGACATGGTCTTTCAACATGAGACATATAAACTTAACTTCACTGTAAAATGATCTAAGCACGATCTTATTGCATGCAAGTAAGTATTTATCAGTATTAGGATGCCCTGCCATAGCCATCAGCAGTTTAAATTAAAATTGGCAGATTAGAATTTGCAGCCTAGTAATTTGGCTCTACCAAAACACCTCTAGTAACTTTAAAGGTAACAACAGAAGTCTTGCTAACTGACCAAAGTACCATTAGCTTGCTGCATTAGAAATATGAATTGGTGTTTTTATAAACAATAAATAAATCCAGGGTGTGTCCTACCTCAGCTGTCAGGTGTGTTTATGTCCTGGTTTAAACCCCACACAGTGAGCAGAGCAGCAGCAGGGTCCAGCTGGAAGGCTGAGAGTTGGATCCTCAGTCAATACATTCCCAGTGAACGAAGAACAGCATCACCCTTCCTCTCCGGGAAAAAAAAAGGGGGGGGGAAGTGGTCCCCTGAACACCCCCACCAACGGAAAATTTCCACTGGTAAGGGTGAGAGGTTCGGTTTTAGTAAAGAGCTCTTGATTCTCTGAGTGATCACACCATCTGTAGGCCTGTGGGACTAAGTTTGAAAAGGCATTGTTAAGAGTTTAGTCATGTGCTTTTCATCAGGAGCTTTGAAGTAATGCCAGAATAGTTAGATTTAGACTCCTGTATGCTCAAGTCTTTATATATAGAACATACTGGTAGGTCTGTCACCTCCCCTCCCTTCTCAGCCACATTAACTGTTTTACATCAGTGTGAATGGTTTCTTCTCTGAGGCACATTGGCACTGGGTTAATGAAGGATAGTACAACTGTACAGCCGCTGTAGCAGTTTCGTTTGTCTAATTGAAACAACAGGGTGGAGTTGAGCCTGCCCTCTCAGAGATTTTAGGGTGATGGTGAAGGACTGGCAGACAGTTCATTTAGATCAATATTACTGAAGACTAGCGATCAGAAAATTTGAGGTAAACATGATATAAGAACACAGCAACAGTCTCTGAATATAGTTTACCCATAGGAAGTGGAAATGCATTTATACACTTTGGAAGAATATATCATATTATCAAAGTGGATGAAGTGTTTTTTTGTTTTGTTTTATTTTTAAGCAAACAAAAGAAATGTTTGGCACTCAGTTTTCATTTTTGTGCACAAAAGTAAATTTATTTGGCAGATTTACTTGTATTTAAACTGTAGAGATAAGTAGAAACATAACTGTTGTGCTTTGCATTTTTGCAAAGCTGCTGTCATGTCTGAATAAAGGTGTAAGGAACAGTTACATAACAAACCTTATGATATGTCTAGACCTTTTCTGTCTTCTAAATTTTATGGAAAAAAAGAACTGAGAACAATTTCCATTATATCAGCCCGCAGGCAGATGCCCACAATTCTAAACAACTTGTTAAGGTGTATTACTCTTTGGCAATGAAGTGATACACTCTTAAGGTGATACAACATACCATTACAGTCAGTCAGAACTGGCAGCTTGGTGTTATAAATGTCCTGTTTGTGGATTTGGAAAGCAGAGACAAAAGATAATTGGAGGTGATGCTTTGCAACATCAAATTAAAGTTTACTATATATTGTGCTCTGCGTGATGTTGTCTTAACAAGACACAGTAGGAAATCTTTCAGCTTTACATTTGAAGCAGGAATGAGAAGTACCTCCCAAGAATGGAAAAGCTAACAGAGGCTTGTTCCCTCAGGGATTCAAGTGTTATACAATTCCTTTTTCCATTTACTTCTGGTATTTTCTGCTGAGCTGAGCTGGAATTGCACAACTTATGGCTGAGCCAGACCATCCAAATATGCCCTGGTTTGGCAGTCAGAAGACCCGAAATGGGATCGGGTCTGTTTGGGTTTTAGTGAATCGTCTTGGTGGGGAAATCAAATTTTCCAAACCATCACAGATCTGGTTAAATAATCATCACATCAACAAGGAGCCTTCTGACTTCTTTCATGTGCAACAAACTCTTTGAAGGAAATTCCTAAACGTAAGCTTTCAGTTTTATCACTTGTTATTCCTACCACTAGCTTTTGACTTGGTACAGCAATAAATAAACTCATGAACAGCTTGTGGGAAACACAGCAAAAATCGGATTTTACCTCCAGGCTAAAAAAGGGAAAACATCTCGTGTTCCCAGAAGCTGGAAAATCGACATGCCCTGTTGATGTATGCCTCTCTGATGTATGGTTAGAACATGTCTCAAAGTTTAACTTTTACTTTTTAAACTTTCATGAATATATAGCTAATTTTAATGTTTGCATTTTTGTGGTATTTTTATTTAACTGGCTACATATATTTATGTAATTTGTCTTTTTAAAAGCGTGTTAAATAATCTGCTTGAAGCTAGTTGGATGCATTTAAGAAGTCTCACAGAACTAAGTCCACTTCACGTATTAGATACCAGTAGCTTAAACACGTCCGCCTTCTTGGTTAAAACCTCAGACTCAGTTTCCAGCTCCCCATAATCACAGCTTCATGGCTGTGTGCTGAAACAATAGCCTCTTGGGAGCCAGATTGTCAGTTTAAAAGAAGCCATTTTCCCAAACACTGGAGGGATCTGATTAGACCATGATGTAACCCTACATGAGAGTTTTCTCTTTTTTTGTGCCCCATTGTGAGGACTAAGACATTAAAGGTATTTGTCTGCACTGTAAGGACCACTAGCCCCACGGTATATCCTGTTGCGTCATGTTGATCTGGATGGTGGGTGGTCCTTTTGTCTTTCTGCCTACCCAGAAGCAAAGGCAAACTTCAAATTATTGAGCTTCTTTGTCTGAGCCAGGTATCAGTCATGCTGTCGTTTTCTGTTTTCATGCGTACAAGCCCTTCGAAACCTCATACCTCTCAGCTGACTGGTCTGCCACAGAAAGATTTAATTCAGTAGCTGTAATAATCCAAAGAGGGGAAACTGGTTTGTGGTAGTGAAAATATTCAATGGCGTAATTGTTGGATTTATTGTCTTCAAACTGCAAATTAAATGTTAGAGATTATTTCCTGATGTGAGATGGTCTGCCTGACTGATGGAAGGCGGTCAGGATGTCTCTTCTCTCTAAGGATCTCATACTTTCCAACCCATCAGACGTCTATGACGGCGCTGGAACGGCTGGAACTTGTTGTGTTTTTGTGTTAAGGAGAATTTCCTCCATCTGGTAATTTCTTTTAATGCCGTAAGTCACGGGGGCAACTTCCAGGGCATCTAGCCAAAGAGTTGCCTCAGTGCTGTTGTTGCTTTAGTGCCACAGGAACGTTTTGAAGCCAGGAAACATTTTTAAAAGAACTGTGACCCTGCAACTCACTGTGTTACCTGTTTCTGGCACTGTTACCCAGCCAGGCTATACAACAGAGCAGTGTTCACTAGCCCCACACTCCACCATGATCTCACCTCACCACAGTTCCACCTGACACTAATATTGATTATTGGTGTTTTGATTGTTTGTTTTTCTACTTTTGTTTTTTGTTTGTTTGTTTTAATGTGACATATATTCTTATTCATAAAACTAACTTTTGCTCACAAGTAACTGTTGGTCAGTAAGTACATTTAACTGCTATTCTAACTGAATTTAGTGATTTAACAATATATTTTAGGTATTCTCACATTGTTTTACTTCTAAATCTGTGTCAGTGGTCACTAGGGCTGCCACGATTAGTCGACTAGTCACGATTACGTCGACTATCAAAATCGTC